GATGGTGAATGATGTTTCCCTTTCGAAGGTTTTCCGTGAAGGAGCTTCCGTTTCGGCCGTCTGAGGTTTGACATGGCTGTAGAATGAGCTTTCACTTTCAGGGATTTTTCCAAATTCTCACTCAGTAACGTGATCGGCTCTTCCGGTCGTATGCCAAACGTATGGATTTCGTGTTCAGGCGTATGGGAGTCGTATGAAAGGCGTATAAAATTCGTGTTGAATCGTGTTAAAACGTATGAAGGTCGTATGAGTTTCTTCCCATGCTCCCCAACACGACTGAACGCGACTGAACACGATCTTCATACGATTGAACACGACTGTCATACGACTGAACACGATCTGCATACGATTGAACGCGACTGTCATACGACCTTCATACGAACTTCATACGACTTTTCAGCTCGGCTTAAATTGTGTTATAAATGCAAAAATTTATAACACGATTTAAGCCGAGCTGCGACATTCATACGTCCGCGCGCGACCGACCACGACTTAACACGAATGAGTGCGCGACCTTCATACTTCTAATGCTACTTTTCCACAATCACAACCTTTATCAGGACCTCAACACGACCACACTCGACCTTAAGATCGTGCTTGGTCGTGGAGCATCGTGGCAAATTTGCAAATATGTGTCAAGTGTACGACTGTCATACAATCGTCATGCGACAGTCATACGGCGAACTACGATGGTATACGTTTTTATACGTTTTTTATACGATGGCAATACGGCTTGTATACGACCGGTTACGACGTTGCCACGACTTAGCACGATGTCAACACGATGGCCATAAGACCTTAAAAGACTTTAATACGACCTACATGAATGGCACACGACTGTGCAAGACCGCGATACGACATCCATACGATTTTGTTTGTTTGTTTTTTGGCTCACGTGGTCTGATGTGTATATAAATGGATTGGGGATGCCTTCCTGTGCCAGTCACCATGATGTTTGAGGAGGACCAACACCTGCACGAAGCTGCTTTGGTGAAGGAGGAGGAGGAGGGCCTTCTTCTTGCTGCAGCCTTAATGCTAAGGGCAAGGAGGCCCAAGAAGAAGAAATGTGTGGGTGAACCATGGTTATTGAGGAGACTAGAGTATGGACACTATGAAAACCTCTTACAAGAACTTCACCAGAGGAATGGATGGAGGTAGCTGAGAAATTTTCAAAGCGCTGGGACTTCCACAACGCTGTTAGTGCACTTGATGGCAAGCACGTGGTGATCCGGTATTCTCAAAAGTCTGGCTCCTACTATTTCAATTACAAGGGCTTTCACTCGATTATTCTTCTAGCCTTGGTAGATGCTGGCTAGACATTTTTATATGTTGACGTTGCTTTTGATTGGCTAATGCAGTGGCGTAATAAATTATCAAAAGAAAGAGTCCGTAAAAGAAAGTCGAAAATCCTTTAATGTATGAAAGGTAGATTAAATTAAAAGTATTAACTTGAATGATGTTTTACGTTATTGAGCCATAACACAATAAACCGGAGTGTACTCTCATGATAAACCGTTCACGGTTTATTTAGAGTACACTCCGTTTTTTGTGATTCTGTCGGGTCCACATGGTCCACATCTACTTGAGGCTTCTTATTACCACCTTTGGTGCCCGATTTGATGCCTTTGTGGCTTGATTTGGAACGAAGTTTGCGAGGAGGCATGCTTGTTGTTCTTTTGTTTTTCACAATTAACTATACAATGTGACATAATCGAAAGTTCAAATATTGGTCATGCCACGGTCTTATGGAAGTCTTGTTTAGTCATATGACCATCGTATGAAGGTCATATGAAAGTCGTATGCAGTCGTGTTCGATCGTATGAAGATCGTGTTCTGTTTCTCGCGCTTTTTTGTACGACTGAATACGGTCTTCATACGATCGCCATACGACTGAACACGAATATACACGATCTTCATTCGATCGTCATACGTCTGTGTACGACTAAATTTTAGCTCTTAGATCGTGTTCTAATTTTTGAACATGTTCAAAAATTAGAACACGACCCAAGCACATGTGCGATCGCCATAAGACGGCACACGACCACCACCGACCACATACGACTGACCACGATCATGTTCCCGACCGCAATGCGACTGAGCGCGACTGACTAGATCTGCTCAAGACGTGCTCGGTCGTGACCAAGATCGTCTATGTGGGAAAATAGCTTAACAAGATTTAAGGAAAAACGTTAAATCGTGTTCATTCGTGTTCAGATTCGTGAATGTGAGATAGGGGCTTAAAAATTAGGAACTATTTGTAAACACAGACGAGCTTACTCTTTCTAAATATGGCTTTCGTTTTTGCAATTAATACGCTATATAGAAATGTTGCTGTATTTAACGTCCCCTTTGTATTGGTTATATCCTAATTTTCAAAAGTTTCTGTAAGAGGTTAGAGAAAAAGGTCAGTCTTTGGATATAAATAATCTACCCTAGGGTGCAGAATTGACGTCATGTCAACCGTTAATCAATGCCTTTATTTGAGATGGGGAAGGAACTACTTTCCATTTTGGGAGTACGACAGAAACAGCTCAAACCTCTAGGTAATACTCTTAAATGCCTGGCCTCGGGATAAACATTAAAACATATGATCCCTTGGCTTGAGATGTTCTCTCTTATCCCAAAGGTGGGGAACATTCTATTGTTCTCTCAGTTTTTCACTTACGTGTTTCCAGTTTTACCTGTGCAATATTGTCACTCCTTGGTGAAATATCTCTGTCGCTCCCAAGAATATGATACATTTGTAGATGACACGCACGCTGGAAGAATACGGTGACATCAGGTGAACAATAAAGTATGACGTAACAATCGGCTTTCAATGGAAGACTTTAAGAGGTCAATTACAAATCAAACAAGCCAGACTGTTGTCGAAGGAGGAGTCAGGACCCGAAATCATAACACGGGAGAAAAATTATCATCCTTTCCGTATTGTCAATATAAGCAACAATGTTGTGACGTCACGAATTTAGAAAATTTTCTATGCCACAATGCGGAAGTTTTAAATGGCGACGCGATCGAATTTAAAACAATCATTCTCTCACCTTTTTATTTGAAAAGCAAGCGAGTCACAAAGAAAACACTCATGTATATCCCACATGCATGTAGGTGAACTCGTTGACATTTACTACTAAAACGCGATAAGATAACGGCGTTATATCATGGTGGAAACCAAATCCCTATATTCCCTTATCCGTCATATTATATAAATGTTTCCAGATATTTAAAGGTGATTATACTTTCAGTAAAAGATAACTCTAAACGTTGATGCTCTTATATTGTCTTAGCATGTACGACCGCTAGCAGGTGCGTACAGTAGCTGCCTATGCGCTGTTGCGCATTTGAATCCACCAAATTTTCAATCAGAAAAACAAAACTAATACAATGCTTGTTTTATTTCTTGTCCCCCTACCAAGGCCCTGCCCTGTGCCTTCTCCTAAATGATTCGTCCTAACTAGTGTGTCTGACACCTGTGATCGTTGGTAGACTCGTATGGAATAGCGCTAGTGAATATACAACATTCTCCTAGCAACATACGAACGTCCATTGACAAGCGATTGGCAGTCTGTGCGGGATTTCTTTTTAAAACCAATTAAAAATACTTAATATATATGCTGGACCGCCGGTAAGAAAGATAATTTTCACAAACCACGTTCTATACGTATCAAGATGATACCTGCTGAACTTATCGTTGCGAGTGCATTAGTATCCATAGGGACACGATGTGGGCTTGATCTTTTAAAAGTCCATATGCATTTCAATGAAACACGTGTTCTTTTTAAAGAAAACAGTTTTGTTTAAATGTGATACGACAGCATGTAGATTAAATTCAGTCTTTTGTAGTCGAGTGAAATTAATAATCTACTGACAACCTGTATGGATGTGTATATAATCTAGCTCATTCATTCGCGATCGACTAACTGTATAGATAAAATAAATAAATTACATATCTTTAGCAAATATGATTAACAAAACTGACAAATTACTCATGTGCCCCTTTGTCAGCGTCAGCAATAATGTTACTGGGAAGTACCGAATTATTGTACCGTCAAAATGTCGCTATGTGTACGTCTATCAAATTTGAACAATTTGTATTTTGTGTCACACATGAATGCAAAACACTACGTATATACACTGGAAAAGTGAATCTTAAAATATATTATTCATCAAAACTTTATCAAAACGATCTTATAATAAGACCGCTTTTTCAATTCTTATGAAACTTACTACATGTATTTTACACTATTTTCAAGCCAAATGTGTTAAAATGGCTTACAAAGGAAACAAATCTGGCGGAATCTTTTTATGATCGTTTACATTGTTTCATGTGAGCTCAACTTTTTTTAGAGGGGAATAACTGACTAAAGAGTGGAATAAATAAATAAATAAATAGAGAATATGTACATGGTTATCATCAAAGATGATTGAATAGCCAAAAAAAACAAAGCTCAAAATGTATCAGGGCTGGGGATTTAAACTCTTTCAAATTATGATCTAGAGACTGAGTATCATGTGGTTGGGCTGTGTCCTGGAGCCAATTCTGGTAGCATACATGCATGTGTTTTTATTAACCAGCAATTGTATAAAGGGTGGATACCTTAGCTGTTTCCATGTTTTGACCCTGAGATTATGTCTAAAGGGACAGGATCAGATCCTAAACCCAAGGGTCAATGCTAATAACATGATTGTGTCATTCCTTCGCAACTAGCAATTGTATATATATGTGGTTCTGGGGTGGGGATCTCAATCATTTCAAGGTTATGACTCTGGGACTAAGTCTCCTGTGGGGTGGCCAGACTTGTGGAAATCCTGGTAGGATATCTGTATTTCCCTCTTCATACCCAGGAATTGCACTTGTGGTTTTAAGGAGGGAATCTCAACTTTTTTCATGTTATAATCCTTTTTTGGTTTCACCACTCAACGCCCTAGGGCCAGCCCTTTCAGTTGCAAAATTTTGAATCTCCACAACCTTATCATGTTTGTAACCAAATATAGTTGATATCCATCCCAAAAAAAGTTCCTTTAAATGATTGCAAAATACCCCTTTTTATGTCCACACCCCTTGTTTACGTCAAAGCAGTACGTAGTGCATCCACTGTTTGACATATCTCATGAAGAAATATATCATGTTTAGTAACCACAGGAATAACAACAGTATTATGTATTTACACTAAATTTCACTCTTTATTTTAGATACTCAAAATGGAATTTAAATTAATTTGAGTTATCTCCCTTTGACCAATCTGCTCTATTTTTAGCAGCACTATATTATGGATGCTTATTCACACTTTTAACCACAAACACAAACACTCTGTCTTTTATCTTATTCAAAGTCATTTCTTATGTAATTGATTGTGTTCTCTCAATTACACAAAGGCATATTGATATTTGATTTTTGATGATGTTAATTAGTTGTATTCTAATTAATTTCCTGTTGAACTGCAGCATAAACAGCATCCAACACAGTCCTTGTAACTTCACACACTTTGTCTGCATGGGCCTCTATGGTCATTTGTCTCTTTTTTAAATCGGTAGAGTATAATTGTGTGTCCCCTTTACTTTGAGCAAACAGGGTTCCGCAGCCATACGTTTTTATCAGCTGATTAATCGCATCCTCCATCTCCATAGAACAGTTCTGAAAATATGAAAGAAATCTAAAGAAAATATTATGATACCTCTTATACAGTGATGTCATGCTATTGTTATATGGGTGGTCGGTTGGCACAGTGGATAATGCACTCGTTTTTCACAGAGGCGACCAGAGTGCAGGTTCGATTCCCTGATCTGATATGAAAAGGTATGGGTCACCTGCTCAACCACAAGAGGTTTTCCCTCGAAAGTCTGCAGGTACTCTGGTTTCCTCCCACATTTAGACCCCTATGACTCCCGGGCGAACAAGAGTGATTAATATAGGTTGAAATATCTTGCTTAATAATTGTTATAAAAAATAAACAACATTTAATCTGAGAGTGTATCACCATCTGTTTGGAATTTTTTAATCAAAATATTTTGTATCTGCTCAGACTTTGAGGTCATAGGTCAAGGTTTCAGTGTAATACATACCCAGTGATAAAATTATGTGAAAATGATTGTGAAAAAGCATTCTATGAGATTTTGTTAATTGATGTTGATCAAACATATATCACAAGTACATGTGTAATACATTCAAAGTTCTGAGCTTAACGAGTATTCAATGGCATGTGTTAAATGTTCCAGTGTAATATACAATAATTAAAATATAATGATTTTGATGATATTTATTAGCCAAGCGTACATCATAGGTGTAAAATCTGGCCCCAAAAAGGGTCAAAAGCACAAAAAATATTCAATGTCATTCTATAAAAAATTACACATTAGAGAATAATATAGCTGTGTCAAAATGTAAATCATATATTCCATTGTTGGTTTCAACTCTAAGGTCTATGATACAGAAAGAAGATGAAAAGAGAAAATGTAAAAAGAACACGGTTTTACAGAATGGAGGACGTTCTACATTTGTATGACTTACCTTAGGACCTGCAACAGCTACCAGGATAGAGGATTGCAGATCTGATACTAGACATAAAGGTTTGTCAATGTCTTTCTGCAGTCTGAGCAGCAACTTGATACCCTACAAATACAGTATCAGATACAGTATCAGATACACAGCCTCAGGTTTGTCTATCTCTGTGTGAGTAACAACTTGATACCCTACAAATACAGTATCAGATACACAGGTTTGTCTATCTTTGTGTGAGTAACAACTTGATACCCTACAAATATAGTATCAGATACAATGGTTTGTCTTCATCTGAGTATAACAACTTGATATCCTAACAGGACAGTATCTGATACAGAGGTTTGCCTTAATCTGAGTATAACAACTTGATACCCTAAAAATATAGTATCAGATACAATGGTTTGTCTTCATCTGAGCATAACAACTTGATATCCTAACAGAACAGTATCTGATACAGAGGTTTGCCTTCATCTAAGTATAGCAACTTGATACCCTAACTAACAGGACAGTATCTGATCCAGAGGTTTGCCTTAATCTGAGTCTAACAACTTGATACCCGAACAGGACAGCATCTGATACAGAGGTTTGCCTTCATCTAAGTATAGCAACTTGATTCCCTAGCTAACAGGACAGTATCTGATCCAGAGGTTTGCCTTAATCTAAGTATAACAACTTGATACCCTAAAAATATAGTATCAGATACAAAGGTTTGTCTTCATCTGAGTATAACAACTTGATACCCTAACAGGACAGTACCTGATACAGAGGTTTGCCTTAATCTGAGTATAGCAACTTGATACCCTAACAGGACAGTATCTGATACAGAGGTTTGTCTCATCTGTTTTAGTAACAATATAGACACCCTTCAAATACACATTACAACTGGAGCAAGTGTTGATTAAAACAGTTCATGAGAAATGAAAGCTGAACACTTTTTTTTTATGAAATGAAGAAAGATTATCTACTCTTGTTGATTTAACACACACAAAATATGTTTATGTAATTAACATGTAATTAGTTTTGGAAATATTAAGATGGTTAACTTCATGTTTCAGTTTCTGAAATAATTTCTGGAATTTTTTTCTTCATACTTAGGCTAACCAAGGATGACAACAAGAGGCTCATCAGCCTTAAAACAGCCAGATATATACATGTATTTCAAATGAAGTTTTGTTAACCTCAGCTGAGTATACACAAAAAAGGCCCACAGAACCAATTTTGCCAAAAAAATATTTAACTGTTAATTGAGCTTGTAAAGCAAATACTATTTTTCATTTTTTTTCCCCCAGACAAGTAAGTACAGCCTTCTTGGATTACTTATTTCTCCAAGCAATTACAATAAAAACACATGAGCAGATGAAATGGAAGGGACATCTATGAACATTTTGCTTAAAGGATTGACCCAACATCAGTAATTTCAGGTTTTTTATTTATTTTGAAATACACTAGAAGTTATCGTCATAGATCTGCACCAATCTGGTTAAAATTGGCCATGTGAAACCTGAGTAGGATCAATAAATGGCTCACTTCATATTGCCCCTACCCATCTACCTATCGGGGACAGTCACACCCTTAAATTATGAAATTTGAATGCCCTGGCCTCGGGCTAGCTTCAAAATTAATTACTGTAAATTCAAAATGCCAAACCTTATTTCAAGAGTAGTCTCTAAATCTGTGCCCTTATTTCTCCTTAATTAGTTCCCATTATTTTGTCCTCAGGGTGCCACATTCTTTATTTAATATACAATGTATAAATGAACTTATTTTTTAATCCACATAGCTCAAGCTAAATACTTTTTAATGGAAAGATATGGAAGGGACAATAACAAATACAGTACTAGCCTTACATTTGATCAAATGAGCTAAAACTACGAATATCCATTTCTGGGAGTACGAGTCTGGAGAGTAATGGTTTTACCAAGTTTCCAATGTGAACAGGACCTGACACTGAAAGTTTGATTCCTGACATCAATGAATGTATCAATTTATCTTTGGTAACATTTGCAGTATTTGTGCGTCTGCAGCAAGGGCCCATATTCATGAAACTGTTTTCATGCTCAAGCATGAATTATGCACTCAAACCAACTTTTTGAATCTAGCCAAACTCATGTGACATGCTCAAAAAGACAAGTATAAACACTAACAAGGTATCACAAGTGATACAAACCCCCTCACATTCACACATTGTGACATGTAAAAGGGAAATGAAGTGGCTAGAGCGATGACAAAGTGTTTTCTAAAAATAGTAACAATGACCTTGACCTTAAAGGTAGAAACTCGAAACGAAAACTTGTTCAAGGCATTGCCATACCAAACACTTAGATCAAGTTTCATGGAATTCCATTCAGGAATGAAGTCGGTAGTGCGATGACAAAAGTTTTCTAAAGATAGTTAAAGTGACCTTGACCTTGAATGCAGTAACCTGAAATGCGAACTTGTTAAGGTATTGTCATACTAAACACATTCGTTGCGAGGGGATAAAAATGATATTCAGCTTAAGTCTAACCAAAAGTTATTTGAATGATTGTCAAAATGTGAATATTCATTAACTCATCACTGGAATAAGAAACTCAAAGGGCTTGAGCACAGATTCGAAGTACGAGCATGATAAAAGTTTCATGAATACAAAGCCAAGTAAAAGAAGTGATCATCTCTGTACGTTTACCTGTTTCTCTTTCCTTACATCACTTCTGCACAGAACAAAACTTTTATTTTGCTGTGCTTCAATTTCCTCGGTAATAACCTAAAAAATGAAAAATAAACAGTCAAGTTCTAAGAGCAATTATTGCAAACAACTTAAACACAACATTTGACAGATTTGACAGCATTTAAGGATTATTTATAGCAGAAATTTTATGATGTAAGCAGAATTTCTGCAGTCAGTTCAGTAGGTTCAGCAGTTACTGTTAGGCTAAGTTGGAACTACTTTAATGTTATCTCCCTACCTGTTGAGCATTAGCTAGCAGTATCTCTGATTCCATTCTAGCCAAACTAAGAGTTAGGAGTGGCAGCTCTGATAACACCTGGTCTCGCACCACTTTTGGCATAACTAAGTCCAGCTGAAAAATGTAATATCATTTTAAAGATTACATGTCATATGTCCGTTTCCATTTTCTCTATCGACATTTATGATTATAACAAAGTTAATATAATGAAATTAATATATTCCTGACCTTCAATATCCTTGAATTTATTTAAATCTAATAATATTAATGCCAAGTGAGGCCACATAATAAATACTGTTACTCACCATATTTTTAAGCTCTTGGACAGATTCATTGAGGTCTACTATTTTATCTTTAGCATCAACTCCAGACTTGATCTTCTGGAGTAAATCCTGTACTCCCTTTCCAGATACTCCAGACTTGATCTTCTGGAGTAAATCCTGTGCTCCCTTTCCCGTTTCATACACCTCAAAAAGAAAATCACATCAAAAACCCATTACTTGCCAACAAATTAGAGAATGGTTATTTTCTTCATGTCCGTTTCTTTTTTTAATATTTCTATCAACAGGTTATTTTTTTTTGGTATGGCAATAACCTAAAGCTATAAGTAGGATTGATATGTTGTCTTCTAATTATAAGAAGTGGTGCCTTTTATTTATTTTTATTCTGACATAAAAATTACACGCACTACCAGTTCAGTGTGTGTAGTTTGTCTACATTCAGGGTTGTAGACAGAGAAACATATATCAATTGTAGATAAATTTTCCAGAGTAACAGAAACTATTACTTCCTACTATAATGTGAAGTTTGGACAGAAAGCTATATTTCCAGCTCCTATTATGTTAGGGTGTATCCTTTTCCTGCTATGTGAATGAAGTATTGCAATTACCTTTTATGTGTGCTGCATAGCAACAGTATCAAAAACAGGTATATGTGTACCAAATGTGTGAGTTCCTAATTAGTTACAGTCATGAAAATAGGTATATTATGTTACCTGTTGTGTGTGTTGCCTTGTTACAGTATCAAAAAGGTGTGTGTTTTACCTGTTGTCTGTGTGTACATACCAATAACACAGTAAGAACAGGTGTGTGAGTTACCTGTTGTTTGTGTGTACATACCAATAACACAGTAAGAACAGGTGTGTGAGTTACCTGTTGTTTGTGTGTACATACCAATAACACAGTAAGAACAGGTGTGTGAGTTACCTGTTGTTTGTGTGTACATACCAATAACACAGTAAGAACAGGTGTGTGAGTTACCTGTTGTTTGTGTGTACATACCAATAACACAGTAAGAACAGGTGTGTGAGTTACCTGTTGTTTGTGTGTACATACCAATAACACAGTAAGAACAGGTGTGTGAGTTACCTGTTGTTTGTGTGTACATACCAATAACACAGTAAGAACAGGTGTGTGAGTTACCTGTTGTTTGTGTGTACATACCAATAACACAGTAAGAACAGGTGTGTGAGTTACCTGTTGTTTGTGTGTACATACCAATAACACAGTAAGAACAGGTGTGTGAGTTACCTGTTGTTTGTGTGTACATACCAATAACACAGTAAGAACAGGTGTGTGAGTTACCTGTTGTTTGTGTGTACATACCAATAACACAGTAAGAACAGGTGTGTGAGTTACCTGTTGTTTGTGTGTACATACCAATAACACAGTAAGAACAGGTGTGTGAGTTACCTGTTGTTTGTGTGTACATACCAATAACACAGTAAGAACAGGTGTGTGAGTTACCTGTTGTTTGTGTGTACATACCAATAACACAGTAAGAACAGGTGTGTGAGTTACCTGTTGTTTGTGTGTACATACCAATAACACAGTAAGAACAGGTGTGTGAGTTACCTGTTGTTTGTGTGTACATACCAATAACACAGTAAGAACAGGTGTGTGAGTTACCTGTTGTTTGTGTGTACATACCAATAACACAGTAAGAACAGGTGTGTGAGTTACCTGTTGTTTGTGTGTACATACCAATAACACAGTAAGAACAGGTGTGTGAGTTACCTGTTGTTTGTGTGTACATACCAATAACACAGTAAGAACAGGTGTGTGAGTTACCTGTTGTTTGTGTGTACATACCAATAACACAGTAAGAACAGGTGTGTGAGTTACCTGTTGTTTGTGTGTACATACCAATAACACAGTAAGAACAGGTGTGTGAGTTACCTGTTGTTTGTGTGTACATACCAATAACACAGTAAGAACAGGTGTGTGAGTTACCTGTTGTTTGTGTGTACATACCAATAACACAGTAAGAACAGGTGTGTGAGTTACCTGTTGTTTGTGTGTACATACCAATAACACAGTAAGAACAGGTGTGTGAGTTACCTGTTGTTTGTGTGTACATACCAATAACACAGTAAGAACAGGTGTGTGAGTTACCTGTTGTTTGTGTGTACATACCAATAACACAGTAAGAACAGGTGTGTGAGTTACCTGTTGTTTGTGTGTACATACCAATAACACAGTAAGAACAGGTGTGTGAGTTACCTGTTGTTTGTGTGTACATACCAATAACACAGTAAGAACAGGTGTGTGAGTTACCTGTTGTTTGTGTGTACATACCAATAACACAGTAAGAACAGGTGTGTGAGTTACCTGTTGTTTGTGTGTACATACCAATAACACAGTAAGAACAGGTGTGTGAGTTACCTGTTGTTTGTGTGTACATACCAATAACACAGTAAGAACAGGTGTGTGAGTTACCTGTTGTTTGTGTGTACATACCAATAACACAGTAAGAACAGGTGTGTGAGTTACCTGTTGTTTGTGTGTACATACCAATAACACAGTAAGAACAGGTGTGTGAGTTACCTGTTGTTTGTGTGTACATACCAATAACACAGTAAGAACAGGTGTGTGAGTTACCTGTTGTTTGTGTGTACATACCAATAACACAGTAAGAACAGGTGTGTGAGTTACCTGTTGTTTGTGTGTACATACCAATAACACAGTAAGAACAGGTGTGTGAGTTACCTGTTGTTTGTGTGTACATACCAATAACACAGTAAGAACAGGTGTGTGAGTTACCTGTTGTTTGTGTGTACATACCAATAACACAGTAAGAACAGGTGTGTGAGTTACCTGTTGTTTGTGTGTACATACCAATAACACAGTAAGAACAGGTGTGTGAGTTACCTGTTGTTTGTGTGTACATACCAATAACACAGTAAGAACAGGTGTGTGAGTTACCTGTTGTTTGTGTGTACATACCAATAACACAGTAAGAACAGGTGTGTGAGTTACCTGTTGTTTGTGTGTACATACCAATAACACAGTAAGAACAGGTGTGTGAGTTACCTGTTGTTTGTGTGTACATACCAATAACACAGTAAGAACAGGTGTGTGAGTTACCTGTTGTTTGTGTGTACATACCAATAACACAGTAAGAACAGGTGTGTGAGTTACCTGTTGTTTGTGTGTACATACCAATAACACAGTAAGAACAGGTGTGTGAGTTACCTGTTGTTTGTGTGTACATACCAATAACACAGTAAGAACAGGTGTGTGAGTTACCTGTTGTTTGTGTGTACATACCAATAACACAGTAAGAACAGGTGTGTGAGTTACCTGTTGTTTGTGTGTACATACCAATAACACAGTAAGAACAGGTGTGTGAGTTACCTGTTGTTTGTGTGTACATACCAATAACACAGTAAGAACAGGTGTGTGAGTTACCTGTTGTTTGTGTGTACATACCAATAACACAGTAAGAACAGGTGTGTGAGTTACCTGTTGTTTGTGTGTACATACCAATAACACAGTAAGAACAGGTGTGTGAGTTACCTGTTGTGTGTGTGTACATACCAATAACACAGTAAGAACAGGTGTGTGAGTTACCTGTTGTGTGTGTGTACATACCAATAACACAGTAAGAACAGGTGTGTGAGTTACCTGTTGTAGGTGTGTACATACCAACTACAGTAAAACAAAAAGGTGAATGAGTTACCTGTTGTACATGTGTACAAACAAGTGTTGGAGTTACCTGTTGTGTGTGTTGCCCAGTTACAGCATATATCCGTTTAGTCGCCTGCTTTGACCGGACTGCTGAGGTGATGTAGAACTCTCCGATGTCACCGGTGTTAGTTACATGACTAAAATAGGAGATTATATGTACAATAGATACAGCCTTTATTACTAGAAACATTATACAACACAAGCAACATTCGATCTGAAGAGGAAGAATTGGCACATTCAAAGTAAAACTTTGAATGTGATATGTTAAACAATGGATGTGTAGGAGACAAAATGATTATTTAATATCTTTTAATTATGAAATGTGTAAAATATGTACAAGACTTGATTGATTTCTTTATCCTACTCACGTTCCTCCACAGAGTTCTGTAGAACCTAGTTTGTCCCCAGCAGACTCTGCATTCCCAATACTCAGCACAAATACTTCTGAAGGGTAAACCTGTCAACATAATGCACTACATGTATGCCCTTGTCCCAATAAGATTTTAAGGGCCATCTTAGAGCTTAATATTTAACAAGGGGCCCAAAGAACATGCGTTCCTCACGAGAACATTTTAACAGAAGTACAGTAACAAGAATAGTGGGTCAAGGTTGTGTATATCAATAAACTTAACTGCCCCTAATTTCTGGCTTGTAGCTAAATTACTACATTTAGCTACAAACCAGAAATCATTTCTCTAGGCCTCTTGGCTCATTAGAAGAAATTGACATTTGACACAATGGACTTTGAATGGATGTCGAGGGAATTTATTTGAACACACATTGTAGCCCTTCACTTCAGCAAGTTGCATGACAAATATAATGATTCCAAGTAGCGTGGTTCTTGAACAGAAACATTTCGAAGATTTTGACACTTTTTACCCCTGTGGCCTTCAGAGTAGGTCAAGGTCATTCATTCACAATCATCTTTTAGTCCTTCACACCAGCAAGTAGCCTGAGTTTCCTCTGGCCCTAGGCCTGACACCAGACATTTATCTGTCAAAATATCTAAAGTCTGGTGTCAGGGCCAGAGGAAACTTGGGCTAACCAGCAGGCTTCATGCCAAATGTCATGAACTAGGCCTTACATTTCTTAAGAAGATGTTCTTTAAGAAAACATATGAACATAAATGAACAGACACCACATCTTGACATAAGCTCAGGTATAACTTATGCCAGTGAGCTAAAAAATTAGATAGTATTACTGAGATATCTCAAACAGAAAATCATTTTTTTACCTCATCCCTTAGTGGTATAATATTCTCCATTTCCATAGCAATATCTCGGGGATACATTTTCCTTGCTACTGGCTCTTTCCTACAAATAGATTCCTGGACAAAATCTTCTATCTGTGACACCTGGTCAGCTTCCATCTTCACCTGTAACAGAAATACTTAAATTTTCAGCAATATTCTTATTACTGTGAATGGTCCCGAGCTGGACAAAATTTTAAGTATGGGTTTTACAGGACAACATTTTAAGTGGTCCAAGTGTGATGCTTGACCATTTATCCGTAACAGATATCTAACAAAAACTAATCAGGTTTAGAAGTTGTTGTTACCATAATATTGTGCAAATATAAACTGAATTGGCTGAGGCATTCAGGAGATATCTGTACACAGATGTTTTAAAAGGATGGAGGCATCCATATCGACACTCTGACAATTTAATTAAATAACCTCCCACTCTTAATGAAGTTTTTCCAGATGAAAAAGGGTCAAATGATTCTTAGGGGGAGGGGTTTCCCAAAATCAACAGATCATCTATTTTTGACCAATACCATTGAATGGATGGGGAATCAGGAATATTAAGGGTCCTTCCTCAATTGGCAAGAGTGATTAAACCAAACTGAAATAGCTAACTGGATAAGACAGAAAATCAGTAAACTGTTGAAAATGATTTAATTATAGTGGTATGCATTTTGCCTTACAGGTGTAGTGAAGTCGAATGAGAAGTGATCAGCGTAAATTCTAGAACCAGCCTGTTCCGCATTGACGTCTATGACCTTCCTCAACCCTTCTAACAACAAGTGTGTCGCTGTGTGGTTTCGCATACATCCCATTCTGTGCTCCTAGACATACAGAGAAAGATATCAATTATATAAAGTAACAAATGTATGCAATGACTTAATTGTAAATAGTGGCAATATGATTTATAGATAATTTTCAGAACAGTGACAAGTTTTCTATCCTATTGTTCTTAATTGTACATAATAAATTATTTAAAATACATATAACGCATATATCATTTGATGCTGAAGATCCGTACTTTTGCCAATGATTGCTTCAAAATAAACAGTATCTCCCGATTTAGGACAATAAAATTTAGCATTTTCACCCAGTGAATTTCCTCAACTATTCTTATTTTCTACGATCTGAGAGAAGAGCTTAAAAGATGCAATTTAAAAGTGTTATTTTTCCCTTGGGGTATATATTAGTACGCATCTTTTATTTATGTTTTTTAATTCTGAGCACGGGTAATATCCCTCTTTGAAATTTCAAAGAGTTGGCAAGTATGCCAATAAGTACCTTGTCAATCGTCTGTAGTGCTGTCTCACCGATACGTAGCTCTCCGCTCTCAACATGCCCAATGTGTAACACGTATCCATCAAATGTCTGGACGTCCTCCACCCTGAAGGATCCATGCTGTGGTGAGAACAATATCACAGATTATGCTTTATCAAATACCAATGGCTAGTCACACAATGGGTCTTTATCTTTGACAAATTGATTTTGATATCATAATCAGAATACCTTCATTCCTTTTTGGAAAAAAAAAAGGAAAAGAAAAAAAAACTTCATTCCTTTTGAGGTTATAAAGAAATATTTGTTGCTCAAAATGATTTTGGTTGTAGCTATAGTTTTTCAACCTTATATCTACTTTTTCAGTGTATAATTTTTATTCCCTTAACCTTTTTAAAATACACCTGACACAGGCAGAAGGATACAATTAAATATTGCTGTTAAATTGTCTTGGGCAAGTTATGAACTGCATCAGCAAAGTTTGAAAATGTTAAGAGATCGATGCAAAGCATCTTTAGATGGCGCAACATGACTTACTTTGTTGAGAAATGATGCAGATTATTTTGACTTAAGAATTTTGATGGCTATAACAAACACCAGAAGAATGAAGCATTATATTTTCTCTACAGCCAAAACGATATATAATTAAATAGTTTTGAATAAGCATGAGCTTTTATTGTGTATGTTTGGGGAAATATTTGGTTACTGTATATGTGTAATGTACACGTGTTTAAGTTTGAACTATACATGACAGTTAGTGTCATGTCATGTACCTCTGTTTTAATGTATCCAATGTCTGCGGCCTGGCCACCAGCTTCACTGTAGAACATGCTCCTGTCAACAATGATTCCACACTGAACATCAGCACCAATTTCATCCACAAAGCCTGTACTGTCCATCAGTCCTAGTATACTGCCTTTAAAATTTTCCAGGAATTCTGTAACACAGTTTTTATTGACGTAAACAGTAGGCAGTGTTTTTTTTTGTTAATTTAGAATGAGGCCTTTTTGTCTCATTTTGGTAAATAAATTAAACAATTGGGAAGAAAATTTCAGGAGTAAACTGCAAGTTTTGGGAATAAGGCATAAATGTGAAACACATATAATATCAATTGGGAATGGGACCCATTATTAGCCCCAAAAAGTCCCCAGAAAAAACACCTGGTAAGGAATATTAATATTTCATAAGAACTAATTTATAATATTAGCTGCGATAACGTAGCTTTCTGACAACGAGAGATTTTTTTATATATATTGCGTCGTCGCAGAGGAGGCCGGGTTTTAATATTAGTACTAGTATGCTATATGCTTCTAGAGTTTAAAGCAAAGTTTTGTTTTCCTTTCAAATCCTGTAAGGTGCGATCATGAAGTGTGCATGCAAAGCTGCCAACCTATTCTCAATTGTCTTTGAATACCAATGTATATATATATATATATATCATAAAGTTTCCCTAGCAACTGCAGCATTCCAACTATACAGGGATCGTTTACCTAGAACTACTGCAATAAAATTTGAATATGTATCCTTTACCCCACACATTGCCCAATTGACTAATACTAGAAGTATTTTATAGATGGAAAACTTATAAAGTCAAATTAACCATTGTGCCATGAAAGGCTCAACATCAAACTCAACACAGTATGATTCTCATTTTGCTCAACTGCTCAGGCTCAAACTTGAGTACCTAAAGGAAAACAAGTACTGAATTTCCTGTGGATAGCCTGTGTTTTTTTGTTTTCAGACCCCCTGCAGGCTATCTTCCGGTGTGGGTTATATGTAAATGTTTATTACATAAATCGCCGATGCCAGACACTGTGAATCCATTTAGACATTTCGGTTTCCTTAACCCAGCCTTCTTTATTACAACTGTGGTAGATTTTATTTGTACATAGGAGGGAATTTCCCTTTAGCTCAGTGGTAGAGCATCCGACTAGGAACCTAGAACTCGAGGATTTGATCCCCGATGGAAGCGCACTATTCTCTTTCCTGTTACAAATGGTGTTCGTGGCCCTCCCTGTAGTGACAGGGAGTTAGAACCTGGGTTGTGGTGTTCGAGGCAAACACATTTAAAAAGGGGGGAGTAGTGTGGCAGATTTTAATTGTAAATAGGATTATGGTCGCCTTCTAGCTTCGAGCTAGAAGGAATGGTTGAAGCAAACTATTCTCTTTCCAATTACACAACTAACAAAAATTAAATTCGAGAGATTTTCACGAGGAATTTTCACACGTTTGAAAATGAACATTGGTTGTAGCTTGGACCCGTCCGGCAAGACAATTACCGACCGTAAAGTTGTTTTTTTCGTGACCAGTGGTCACCTCATTAACAGTTTGACGGTAGTTGCCAATAAGAGTAAATATATGTTAACAGAAATGTCCGCCGTATAAGCAGCAGGTTATCTGCCAGTGCTGGCTAGCTGTTAATATATTTTACATATTCTGCTAATTTGAGGCTGTGTGGGCTATACAGTGTAGCGGGTTATCCGCAGGAAATAACAGTACCCAAAGGCTCTAGTAATAACAACAAAGGAGGCATCTTATTTTAAAAGAATTCGTCTGTTTGGCTTATCTGCCAGTAGACGATAATAATAATACTAGTGTCTAGTATTATAGAAATCTCCATTACCATATGTTCCTCCACAGGAGGTGTAGGAATACTTGAAACTGTCGTCAGTACAGGGGATGCCGCGCTGCTGTAGGGATTCTATCATACTTCTATTTAACTTCAGTTTGTCCGTTTGCTCTGCAGTTTGCTACAATTACATAAATCCACCTCATTACAAGTCCTAGTGCATAAAATCCATATCATTCTGAAATGCATCAACTGTAAATAACAATACTAGTGTACTGTGTATTGATTAATGTGTGAGGATGTCTCTTTTTCATGTGCCTGACCATCCCCTCCCCAATGGTCTATTTTTGATAATTGTAACTGTGACCTTGACTTTAAAAAATTATCGAAACCCCAACTGCATATCTACATGTCACAGTGTACATGTATCACCATAAAACAATGCAAAAGATTAGACTCTTGAACTCCGAAATATGGACAATAACTCCAACAGTCTATTTTTAGTAACAGTAACCTTGACATTGACCTGAGAAATATTTTAAACCTCTTTTTTCCACATCTTGATATAACAGTGCATCTTGATCACCATGTCAAATTTCAGAAAGATAAGTCTGAGATAATCTCAGGAAACGTGGACAGAGCAGACACCATGATTAGCAAAGGGCACTTATATGCGGGGCCCTGATAAACTTGCCTCTAACGGCTGTTCCTGTATTCTAGCTTCCTTAAAGGCAGCATCTTCAAATGAGTATCCTTGTCTTACCGCCATCTCCTGCATGATTGTTAGTGGCACTTTGGTTCCATATTTTCCTTTGTGAAGGTCCATCATATCTTCAACTGACATACAGTAAAGTGGACATTAGTATTTGAAGACAGTACAGAATTCAAGAGCGCAAACTCACTCAATCACATTTGGATGGGTCTCTAAAATGTTTTGGTACATTCCTAAGTTTCAGTTTTATTGCCGAGGTATGTAGATACCTAGCAATAGTATTAGTCTGTTATTATGTGTATAAATATTGTCAGGTATTTTAATGAAACATCTCAACTAATAAAATTATTTTCACTGTACAGTAGATCTTTCATTAATCATTCACCAATGATCCAGTTATCTTATGTTATCAGCAGAGAATATTTTCTCTAAAATAATATGCCCCAGTAATCCAATCTAGTCGCTTTAGACTAGAAACAAGGTGGCTGTACTAGCGTGAAATGTAAGCAATAGCATTTTATAACGTAACCCAAACTAGTGCAATTCGAACAAAGAAATCTGCAGAGCTTTGACTGACCGAAGGAAATCCAAATATAGACAAATTATACAGCTTCTGCTGAACTTCAATGTAGGGGAATATTTGAAAGCAGCAAATGTAGAGATACATGTAGCACTAGATAAAGGCAAGAAATTCCAATGGGGATGGTGGTCCTAACTGAGGTATTCAAAATAAGACATACCCTGCTAAAGGTCAGTGTGCCTAGTGCAATGTAAATACACATCATGTATTCTCACATACCTGACATATGCGTGTGGTCCCTTTTGCTAGCAGTCTTTTTAACAAAACTGCTGAATGCTGTTTCTGAACTGGAAACTAGGCTTGTAAACCATTTTTCTGTGTCTTTAGTTATGTTTTTAATCTGCAGTTAAATAAATATTAATAAAATAAATAGATGGCAGGGGCAAATTCTTTTCTTTAAAAAATCTTCAAAACACTCATCTTGTAAATCTTGCAGATTTTTTTAGATACACATAAGTAGACCTAAACAGAGGACTATCCTTATTCCACTTGAATTCTTAACATACCTTTGAGTGATTTTTTTGTAGTTCTGGATAGGCTTCCCCCTAAATAAAATCAAGCAACATAATTAGCTACATCAAATTTTATTACATGGACTATTTATTTGTTTATAAATGCATTATCTCATCGAGCAATTTTTAGTAGAAGTCATTTCACCTGCCATTTCAAACAGTTTCTGATTTTTCCAGTATTTGACAGCTGTTGATATCCACATTATAGACATACCGGTACATGTACCTCTGATCATGAACTGCGCAATCACTCTATGAACTAACTGATATATATGAAGTTGCATTATAGCACTAAGAACAAAAGTGGTGTTAAATGCTTTGGTAATGCCAAAATCATTGAATTCCTCAAAGTGAAGCTTGGTAATATACATGGGTCTGCTTAAAAAACCCAAAGTGACCAGAGGCTCACAGTGGTATAGTACTCCCATCAGACTTCCCAATTTACCTGTGACTTTTCATCACCTAATCTTGACCAACGACTATCAATTAATCTAATCAGGTAGGTAAATTAATGTAAACTAAATTTGCTGAGGGGTTTGTTGTTTAGGGATTTATAAGATATTTTGCACAAAAGCTTCAAGAGTGCTGAGATTTGATCTTTGACCTTGACCTTTGATCCTTCATCCTTGACCGACGACAACCAAAATCTAATTAGTTGTAGAACATATTCTGTCTACTGGTATATCACATTGAATGATCTGCAATCAGGGACTGAAGATGGGACTTGGATAAGAATAATATGTAGGGGCACAGCTCCAACAAAAATAACAAGATAAAAACATAAGTGCATTAAAATATCACAAAATTTGAACAGACATTTAATGCATGAGAGTTTAAGTTTGGACTAATAAAGAATGTATATTTATTACATTTTTTCCAGTGAAATATCGGATTCTATCAACTTGATAAAACTGATATCTTTCACTCTGTGACAAATATTAAGAGATTTTTCAGTGTGAAAATATAACTTTTTGGTATTGACCAATCATAACAGTATCTTCTATTCGCTGCATTCAAAGGCAACGATTTTTTGTTCAGATTCAATTGAAGCAACGGTAGAATAAGTGGTTGTTATAGAATGTATTACAAATATATTTCACTTGTGTGGCTAATAATTTGATATTTTTCACTCGTGCTGCGCACTCGTGAAATATATCAAAATATTAGTCACATTCGTGAAATATATTTGTTATTACTGAAGACACCATTAAATATCCTCTATGTATACCATTGTAATGTAATGTTTTACAACAAAGAACATGTAGATTTTTTTGATGTTCATCATTATCCTCACCAGACTGTCGACAACAACATCCACCAGCCCGGACACCGACCCCTGGGGCATCCTGAGTACCTGGTGGGCCTGCTGGAAACATTGTGACATGACAATTCTCAAGGTCAACCTGTGTGAAGGAACAGAGTAAGATTTCAATAGCTCACAGACCTAAAGCTACATACTGAGCATAAGTAACACATTCAACATGTATACATTATATACTAGGTACGTTTATAATGCTTATTAAAGATTGTATGTGACAGTGGCATTTAGTTTAATAATGGAACCACTACAGCATCAATAATTATATTCTCAACACAATTATATCTTTTTGCTTTGTAGCAAGTTTTCTTTTAGCAGGAATTGATTTCAACATTTTGGCAGACCCACATGTAGATTACCAATAATTGATCACAATACAATTTATACAAGTAAACAATAACTTGAATGTTTTGGCAATAATAGTAAAATCCCTTTTTTCAAACTCATTAACTCCAGAAAATAATTTTGATTTATCCAGCTCTGTAAGGAAAAGGTTAGAATCAAGTGATTTGTTAGAACAAGCATTCGTGTTCAATTGAAACTTACCCAAGACCAGATCTATTAGGCAGCAGACTGTCGGCGATGGATATGGAGGACATGCGTATGTGGTCGGCTACAACCCTGTAGGCTGTATCTATCCCTCCCTGGTCCTGCTCTCCCACCAATCCCTGGTAAGGCCGTATCTTTGTCTCCTTTTATAAACAATAAGTTAATTTTGGGAGCACACATAGTATTACTGACAGCATCATTATCAAAGCTTTTTGTCTTACTTTTTGCCTTGAAATATTAAATAATGATATTTCTAATTTTATTATAAATGTGCAGAATACCACAAAGTATTGCAGTACATTAGTACTATGAGATGATAGTTACATCATTGGAGACATATTTTTGCATGGTTACTGTAACCTTACCTTACTAATGGCCTCAAATATTGGAGAGAAGAGGTCAGTGTTGTAGTTAGACTCTGTGTTCTGTAGAACAGCAGCCATCCTCTCCAGCCCCATCCCAGTGTCTACATGTTGGCGTTGGAGCTGTGTCAGGGAGGAATCTTCACACCTAAAATGAAGTTGATGTGATAATTGACTAATGAGAGGTAATAATACTGTTATATAGATAATTACACAAGAGTTATATGGTATTAAAGAGTAAATGCTATGCTAATCTAAAAAGTATATGAAATGTTAAAAGTTTACCAATGAAAGTGAATAGTGTGACAGTTTACAAACCAGAAGAAAATGCTGTGATGTTTAACCAATGTAAAAAGAAGTAAAACCAACTTTGCTGAATACCCAATGAAATATAAACCATATGTACTGGCATGCATGACTAACTATAATGAGAAACAAACCATGACCAAAATTGATCTTTGAAAAGCAGACTCTGACCTGAATACCTGTTGAGAAATAGATATTGTGTGATGATTAACCATTGCCATGTAGACTATAAGCTGATTGATGAATGAGAAGCAAACTATCAGCAAATTTGCCAATGAGAAGTAGCTGACCTGTTATACTGCATAAAGACCAGGTTCCAGATCTCCACAACCTGTGGGGAGCCCCTGTTGACGAGGTGCACGCCTGTCCCATCTCCTGTGTGGTCGTAGTGGATCTCTGTACAAGGCCCACATGGCCCTGTCTTACCCATGTCCCAAAAGTTGTCTTCCATATAGAAAGGCAGAATACGCTTTTGAGGTATTCTGCAAAATACGGAAAGGTGTTGCTTTGTTCAAAAGTGATGATTGGCCAGGGTTAATTAATTTTATAATCAATGTGCCATTAGAAAAGACAAATAAAAGATTTCTTGCAGTTAACATGTTCAAGTACAGGTACAGCAACACTCATAACATTTATATAGAGGTACCCAACCGGTACTGACTGTACATATTAATAAGCATGAGGAAAATTCCTAACCTGATTTCAACAATTAATCAGAATTGAAGTGAAGTACACTTTAAATAAAATATTTCTGACCCATGTAATTAGCCATTAATGTTGTCTTAGATTTACTCAGGCCAATAAAAAAACAAGATGTTTAGTGGACTATCCTTCTATCTTAATGAGGAAAATTAGTCTATAAGTAATTAAATTGTTGATAGTGCAATTATGAAAACTTTTCAGTGAACTTCATTCAACCTGGTCAGATGTAACAGACATACCCAAGACTCTGCCATATATTTTTGGTTTCAAGGTCTGGTTGTAGCCCGAGCCTGGTATCACCACTAAAGTATGTAAAGTACAGACGGTTAACTGGCAGGCCATACACTTCGGTTAACAGCTCCAAAGCCATTGCACACGCCTCCACCTGTCAAACATGAGACAGATAATATACATTCCCCAGGGTGAAATGCTGTGGTGAGTATAAAACATATCTTGAGAATAACCCAGGACCTGTTCAATTATTGCTAACTTTACAATTTCTTTTCTTTATCAAAATGTACTCTTCTATATTGAATTGATATGAAAACATATAATGTGGGGGTCCTTTATAAATGAAATTGACTGATGAAATGAAACATCATCAATTTAGACATATAAATAATTGCAAAAGTTTTGATTTAGAATAAAAGGAAATCATAATGTATCTTTCACAAACTTATCAATCCTACCTTAAAGTAATCACCAAAAGACCAACTTCCTAACATCTCAAAGAAGGTATGATGATAAAGATCTTTTCCCACAGTCTCCAGATCATTGTGTTTACCGCCCACTCTTATGCACTTCTGGTGATTTGTTGCTCGCTTGTAGTTGCCCATCTTACTGTTTGGGTCGACAGTTTCCAGAAAAATTGGCTTGAACTTAAAAACATGAAACATTTTGTATAATTGATTGAAATAAAGATGAGGTTAATTGTTTTAGTCAGCAGTTCACATGATTTTGCAGTAACAAACATGTAGAATTGAGAAATAGAAACTGTAGAGGAAGTTCTAACTGCTACTGTTACTAACAGTATCATTGCATTAACAATGTTGTCTCAACTAACAAAATGAAATAACAAATCCATAGCTGTTACCATGTGAAATTCACATTTTTTTTTTGTATTTTTCCTAACAGATTGTAGATGTTCGTAAATCTTGTTTCAGTAAAAATAATAAACATCAGAAATGGCTGATGATATATATTGTTTGGTGCTTTAAAAATATAGTAAACAAGAGATCCCAGAGGGATCTTGGCGCCCACCTTTGTACCATCTTCATTAGTTCTGTGTCAGTTCGATCTTTTCTCTTCTTTCCTCTTATCTGTTTGATCGAGTCATGTTAACAGTAAATGCACCTTGAGGTAACTTTTGATCTAAACTTAATACTGATGTGTATGAAAGCCAACCTTCAAAGTGAGTTTGTCATTTCACATATTTACTAGTACAGTACTTAATGTGAAAGAAATAGAATCGATCATTGCAATATGAGAAAGATCTGTTTAGTTCTTCTTTTAATCCATTTTGTTTTTATGATCAGTCTCAAAATATAACATACACAACGAGGGATCAAGGGGAACCTACATTTACAATTTGAGAAAGATCCCTCGCGTACTTCCCAAGAAATAGCGATAACAAACCTTTAACTATCAAAATCCAAGATGGCTGCCTGTTGGCCATGTTGTTTATCTGATCAGTCTCAAAATATAACATACACAACGAGGGATCGAGGGGAACCTACATTTACAATTTGAGAAAGATCTGTTTAGTTCTTCTTTTAATCCATTTTGTTTTTATGATCAGCCTCAAAATATAACATACCCAACGAGGGATTAAGGGGAACCTACATTTACAATTTGAGAAAGATCTGTTTAGTTCTTCTTTTAATCCATTTTGTTTTTATGATCAGTCTCAAAAGTTGTCCAGCACAGCTAAGGACCAAGGGGAACCTAGATATAAAATTTGAGAAAGATCTGTTTAGTTCTTCTTTTAATCCATTTTGTTTTTATGATCAGCCTCAAAATATAACATACACAACGAGGGATCGAGGGGAACCTACATTTACAATTTGAGAAAGATCTGTTTAGTTCTTCTTTTAATCCATTTTGTTTTTATGATCAGTCTCAAAATATAACATACACAACGAGGGATCGAGGGGAACCTACATTTACAATATGAGAAACATCCCTCGCGTACTTCCCAATAAATAGCGATAACAAGCCTTTATCTATCAAAATCCAAGATGGCTGCATGTTGGCCATGTTGTTTATCCGTTCAGTCTCAAAAGTTGTCCTGCACAGCTAAGAACCAAGGGGAACCTATATATAAAATTTGAGAAAGATCTGTTTAGTTCTTCTTTTAATCCATTTTGTTTTTATGATCAGCCTCAAAATATAACATACACAACGAGGGATCGAGGGGAACCTACATTTACAATTTGAGAAAGATCCCTCTCGGACTTCTTGAGAAATAGCTATAACAAACTTACACTATCAAAATCCAAGATGGCTGACTGTTGGGCATGAGGTTTATCCGATCAGTCTCACAAGTTGCCCTGCACAGCAAAGGACCAAGGGGAACCTATATATAAAATTTGAGAAAGATCCCTCTCGGACTTCTTGAGAAATAGCTATAACAAACTTACACTATCAAAATCCAAGATGGCTGCCTGTTGGACATGTTGTTTATCCGTTCAGTCTCAAAAGTTGCCCGGCACAGCTAAGGTCGAAGGGGAACCTACATTTACAATTTGAGAAAGATCCATCGCGTACTTCCCAATAAATAGCGATAACAAACTTTCACTATCAAAACCAAAAATGGCTGCCTGTTGGACATGTTGTTTATCCGTTCAGTCTCAAAAGTTGTCCTGCACAGCTAAGGACCAAGGGGAACCTGCATATAAAATTTGAGAAAGATCCCTCTCGGACTTCTTGAGAAATAGCTATAACAAACTTTCACAGAGGAATACTTACCGAGAAATAGCGATAACAAGCCTTTAACTATCAAAATCCAAGATGGCTGCCTGTTGGACATGTTGTTTATCCGATCAGTCTCACAAGTTGCCCTGCACAGCAAAGGACCAAGGGGAACCTAGATATAAAATTTGAGAAAGATCCCTAGCGCACTTCCCAAGAAATAGCGATAAGGGGGCTTTAACTATCAAAATCCAAGATGGCTGCCTGTCGGCCATGTTGTTTATCCAATCAGTCTCAAAAGTTTCCCTGCACAGCTAAGGACCAAGGGGAACCTGCATATAAAATTTGAGAAAGATCCCTCTCGGACTTCTTGAGAAATAGCGATAACAAGCCTTTATCTATCAAAATCCAAGATGGCTGACTGTTGGGCATGAGGTTTATCCGATCAGTCTCACAAGTTGCCCTGCACAGCAAAGGACCAAGGGGAACCTAGATATAAAATTTGAGAAAGATCCCTCTGGTACTTCTTGAGAAATAACGATAACAAAGAATTGTATACGGACGGACGATGGACCATGGACGCAGGGTGATTTGAATAGCCCACCATCAGATGATGATGGGCTAAAAAGATCAAAAGTTATGTCACAACTTTGATTATCAGTTCTTATAGCGTGAAAAGAAAATTGGTAAAATAAGTTTTATACTGTATTGAGTTTTTGTTTTGGTTATTTATGCTTTAAAAAATGTCAGAATTAACTTAATCTCTGCACATATATTTTACACACAAAAATTACAAAACAGAATTGGAAAATGAAACACAAAATTGTCCTTTTTTGAATGTATTTACTAATGGACAAGATGAAGTGTACATACTTGATTCATTCCAGCATTTGTGAAATATGTTCCACCATCTTTTACAGGAATAATTGATGAAGAAGGAATGATCTGGTGATCATGATTTTCTTTGAAGTAGTCTACAAATGTTTTTCTTATTTTGGCTGACGTCCATGTTTCTTGATGACTGATATATCGATGTGTTGATTTTATATACTTTAGACATCTATGACAAATTGTTCGTCCTCCATTGCTTGACTGAGCCCACATCATCACTGTTTCTTCTGTGAAAAAAAATCCTTAAAATAGCAAAAACGTTACAAGCACCATTGATTTTTCCACCTCTGTATACGTAGTTGCCAGAAGTTCCATGTAAATCTATATTAAAACTTCAGATGTAAGAATGTAGGGGTCTTAATGTAGGAGGAAACCGGAATACCTGGTGAAAACCCATGTGGTTGAACAGGGAAGTGACCCCATACCTTTCCATGTACAAATTCGGAATCAAACCAGAGCTGTCTTGGTGAACGGCGAGTCCTTTTTTATATATGATACATAAGAAGATGAGAGTACGTGAATTGCATTCAATTTTAGCCTGGGTTAATTGACTCAATCATCAGCCACTAGGTTACAAGCTCACTAGAATTTGGAGGATGTCTGCATGTTTTTTCTTCTCCTGTTACAGTAGTGCCTGTGACCAAACCTTGTTAGAAGGAATGCATGAATGATTAATTGACAAGGTGTTACACAAACCTGGATTGTAAATAGTGTTGTCTTTGGGGGGCAAAGACTTAGAAAAAGAAGGGAGGAATAAAAGCGGATCTGGACTGAATTGATTGCCAGCGACCAGGTAGCTCAGACCAGGTAGTTCAATTGTTAAGAGTGCCCTCCTAGAGGTTGGAGGGTCCTGGGTTGGAATCCCATGGATTCTCCTGTCATGCAATTTAAACAAATATGTAGTCAAAGGAATCTCACAAACACAAAACAGCGTCTGAGAGAGCCAAGGGACTTTCAAATGATCGAAACTTGTTCATAGCTATATAGTCACAAATTTATGTGAACTATCAATTTGTTCCCTTTTGGATTTTCTGATATATGAAGGCTGCTAGTTGGTTCTACCACAGTGTTCCCCATTAATTTTGGATTTACAGGTTATTACATATTTCCGATTTTCAAGATTACCTCAGGCTCTAGTTATTCAAGGTATGAAACAGGAATGTGCTTCTACTGGATATTGAACCACTGACCCTTTGAGCTCCCTTATTTTATAGTGTACACCACTGAATCAGATTAAACTAAAGGAAAATTCCCTCTAATGCGAAGCTAGGCCAATGAACCTTATGTATAATTGTAACAGGAAAGAGAGTAGTGTGCTGACCCACTGGGGATTGAATCCACGCTCTACCACTGAGCTTAAGGGAAATTACTTCTAGCCTGAAGCTAGATGGCAACCATAATACTATGTACAATTAAGATCTTCCATGTACTACTCCTCCCTTTTTAAATGTGTTAGCTCTCACACTTAACAACAACCGAGGTTCTAACTCCCTATCACCACAGGAAGGGCCGATGACACCATTTCAGCATTTGTAACAGGAAAGAGAGTAGTGTGCTTTCACCAGGGATCAAATCCCTGGTTCTTTGTCTGACAATCTACCACAGAGCTAAGGGAAATTCCCTCTTACGCAAAGCTAGAAGCCAGCCGTAATTCTATATACAAATACAATTAAAATCTGCCACACAATTAAAACCTGTTACTGTTACAATGTAAATACTGTAGGTCAGTCCTTGAAAAATGGGAATAAATCAATCTGCTATCGGAGTAAAAACTCAATTTGGGGGATCACTGCTAAGCCTACAGCTGTATCCTCTTTGGAAGACGATGAATGTGATAACGTCACAAGTGAGAATGACCTGTCATAACAGGTGACCATGATAAAACCATTAGCCTAGACCACAGGGGCACGTTTCAATTTATCAATTTACATCTAAGGTCTCCTTGTTTACCATACATAACCACAGGCGCACGGCAAGTATGTATGGTAATCAAGGAGACCTCAGCCATCAATTGAACCGTGCTCCTATGTCTAGACATGTAAAACATCATTCAGCTATTTTGTGGAATTCTTTTTGGAATATACGCACATATTTTTTTCTATACTAACAAAACGCAAAAGACACGTATCATGAATATACACTGGAAGAAACAAAAAGAATACTTTTCAAACATAGACTAGTCTTCACTGCATACTCCTTTTAACACATGGTCCACCTGCAGACGATTTTGGATTTTGTTTTTCAACCGGAAATCACTGAATGCATATTAATAATAAAACAAATATCCGTTCACTAGGCAGTTCTTGTCAAATTTCTTCGTCATTATAGTAAAAAAAAGCGCTTTGTCATCAGAGTAGATACTCTTTTATTTTGCAATAATCTCTAGGCCTATCCATCTCGAAAATACAAGAATTAGCTCCAGGTTAATATGCGGATATCCGTTAAGCGTCTTTACAATAACAGATTTTTTTGCTTCGTCTGATT